ATGATTAAGCAACTCCCTTTACCGATCCGCAAGAACAAGGGCTGGTTATTCCGTGCTCTAGGCCTTCATTTCCTCAGTTGTACGTGGGAATAAAGAAAGTGCCCACTTCATGGGACAACTCTGAGGTCCCGTGAGACCATACCATGCGCACAGTGAGCGCTCAACCCGCTCTAGTGCTTGTTCCCATTATTACTGTCAGGAGGGATGAGAGGCACACCCTTCTCTGGCAAGAGTGATCTCCTGCCCCTTTTACCTGGTGACCTGGGCTTCTATTTCTTAAAGCAGAACTGAAGGCCAGATGGTCCAGCCACACGGAGCTCACTCTGCTCTGTTGAGAAATCTTGGTCTGAACCCCTGAGGATGAGAAGGACGCAGTCGTCCTGGGAGGACACGCTGGGGGCCCCCACCCTGCTCAGCATGGGCCAGTTGGTTCCCACAATCCCCTCTGTCCAGGGTGTGTGGGAGGGTTACGTTTCAGAAATGTTAGGGTGTGACCCGAAATCACAGGTCCAAAGGAATGCCAGCTAGCTCCTCACCAGGCCACCCCTCAGCCTCCGAGCTGGCCGTGTAGATGTGTTTGCGTGTACGGGTGCACACGTGCCCAGAGACCCAGGGCACAGGGCCATCCCAGCAAGGAGAAGACTGTCTCCCACTGAGCCTATCATGTCACTGTCAAACACGGAGACTTCCTGGGGGCCTTGGCCTTGGGCCCCCAAGACACACCCCTCAGGTCCCACGGTGCTGGGGACAGGCAGGACCTGTCCTGCCCAAAAATAGCCCCGTGGAGAGAGGGGCCCCTCTTCAGACTGACAGCTGATTTACTAGACTGCAGCTCCGCCAGCCCCAGCTGGAACTGTGTCTGCCAATCCTGTGACCTATTAGCAGGCCCTTTGCAGCTTTCCAAAAAGACTCCTCGGGCACAGCAACTACCCAGGAGAGGGCCCGGCCCTGGAGCCAACCACGGGGAGCCGAGAGGTCCGGCTGCCTTCCCCTGCATGCAGGCAGGAGGGGGACGTCCGAAGGGAGAAGGCAGCCTACAGGTCCCGGGCAGGCGGCCGCCATGTATGCACCACATCCAGTCGCCTCCTGTGCAACATGCCGTCGACAGGGCTTCTTGAGCTGTTCTTCCCAGAGGGAGAAGGGCCTCGAACGAGCCGGGGCTGCCCGGCGTCCAGTGAGAGCACGATGGCGAGCTGGCCCACGCCTCACCCTCCCCAGCGCCCCAGCTCAGGATGCTGTCCCCTGCTCCCCGAAGGGACCAGGCCTGAGCCGCTGCTTGAGCGGACTTCATGGGCAAGCAACCTGTGCACAGTCACACAGGGCCGTGACTGCTTTTAAAGTTCTGATAGCGGCATCTTGAAATTCTTAATTTTTGAACAAGGGGGTTTCTGCCTTTTCACTTTTGCACGCTGCCTGCAAATTACGTGGCCAGTCCTGCCCATGACCTTTGCTCATGCGATGTCCAGCGCCACACCTGACAGCCTCCCTCTTTCCTTTCTCTGTCTTTATGTCTTATCTGTCCTCTTCTAAGGCGGGGTCCTGAGAGAAGAAGTTAAGAAAACCATGAAGGAGAGAGAGACCACGTTATTCGAAGGGGCTCTTTTGCTCCACAGCAGACAGAACAGTGAAGATGGACAATGGACCCTCCGATACTTCTGCCGAGCTTGAGATCGGGGTGCTGTCAGATCTGGGGGCTCTGGGGGAGGCCTCCTACCCCTCGTCCTGCGGGCACACTCCTTGACGAAGTGTAGGGGAAGGAATTTAATAAGTTCATTTTGTCTGGCCTTTGGAGTTCGTGTCCAAAGCTGGAGACGTCTACGAGTTTGAGTTCAGAGACCTGAGCTGGTAACCCACATGCCCTTTTACTTGCTATGGCTCCTGACAAATGGCAGTCTCAGAGTCTCAGTTTACTCCTCTGCAAAATGGGTCACGGTCCACATCAGGAGGCTCTGGAGTCTCCATTGCTCATCTCGCTGTGTGTTGGAACAGATGCCAAGCCTTTTCTGACACTGGCCAGTGAGTTTGGGAAGCGGGTTGCCATTCATTCAGGTGCATGTCTTATTTACCTTTCCCAATCCCTGGGCTGGCCAGGCCCATGACTTTTGCCACACAATTCTGGAGAGTTTGTGACCTTTCCCTGAGCCCCATTCAGGGGTTCCCCAGTGATGCAATTCTACTCTGGGCATGGTCTCAGATTTCTCCTCAATCGTGCCCGAAGGGCGGAGAGCCCAGTTCCTGGGCCACATTGATTTTCTTCTATGCAGCTGTACCTGGATCTCCCACCCATGGCCAGCACCAGCGGCACCAGGACAGGCTGCCTCCCGAATCTGGCTGCTGTCTCTGTTCAGGACAGGGGTGTCCTCAGTGTGGAGGGGCTCCACCTGCAGGGTCCCTCTGGCCACCACAGAAGAGAGTAAGTCTACCGAGACATGATCTGCTTGGGGAGGAAAGGTGGTCGATCTCTCAAAGGAGAAGGGCCAGAAGCCTGTTCCTCAATAGGCTTTTATTGGGTTCAGTTTGCACAGGAATATAGGTAAAGCTCATCAGTCATTGTCAGGCAGTAAGGATCAAACAATAGATAACATACAAAGAACTACCAGGGCTTATTCTGAGTCAGGGTCTATTAGTTAAAGAGGTATAAAACTTTGGGGAACAAACTCATTTCATGCTTGGACCCTTATCAGAAAACTGAGGGCATTCTTAGCAAAGCATGTTTCACGGGATTTTACACATTCTTTCTTAGGCCTGATCACCCTGAGGGGAACCCGCCCTTTCCAGCACAGGGCTGCACTGCCCTCTGGCGTTGTTTCAGGCTTAAGTCAGGCAGGGCAAGTAAGGCAGCCAAGAGATTAAGAGGCTTCTTGCAGAATGAGGACTCAGCTATGTCAAAGCTGAGGGGTGAGGGTCAATCACCCCCTTTTTCTATAGCCCCCCCAAGTCCTGCCTTGAGGGCCCCTTTGTGACCATGCCTGTCTTTGGTTGTCCCTCCCTTGAGGACTCTTGCCCGTCATTTGCTAACTGGTCATCCACTCAGAACCAGGCAGGGTGAAGTAAAGGGGGCAGAGGTGGTGCCCCTGCCAGGAAGATAAGCTTTGTCTCCTTAGTGGCTTAAGATCCCAAGGTCTCTCACTCAGCCTTAGCCATGGCGGTTACAGCTTCTGAAAACAGGCAGGATGGCTTCCAACATTTAAGCACATTGGCTTCAACTTCACAGAGCGACCCCTTTGTGGAAGAAAGCGTCTAGGAGGGGCTTCTCTCAGGTCTCGACACTCAGGAACTGAGCTTCTACAGAATGAGTTTGTCACTGCACTGGGGTCCTGAGCACTGAGTGGCTGGGACGCTCAGAGCCCTGGGTAGGACAGCTGGTGGCCAGCCACCCCTGCACGTGGTGGTTGTGCAGGTCCTCCTCCCCTGTGCTTTCGGTTTGCCCGGTTCCCTTGGCTTTTCGTTTCACACCTTTGTCTTTCGTGCATCCTTACACACACCTCTCTCTGCTGCGGAACAAGGTGTGATGGAAACGTGTGAATTTGTGTTTAACTCTATTTCAGCCCTGCCGGTTGCAGCATCCTCCCATGTACCACGAGGTTGCAGTTTGATCCCCAGTCCGGACGAGTACAGGAGGCAACCAATTGATGTTTCTCTCTCACTGTATTCTCTCTCTCTCTCTCTTACTCTCCTCTCATTGATAAAGATATCCTCAGGTGGTGATTTTAAAAAAATTATTTTGGGAAACTGTGAATTGCTTCACAAACACCATGGAAGGGGCACCATCGCTGAGTGGTGCTGGGATGGGGAGCCGGGGGGTGGGAGGCAGGGGGTCTTTCCTCTGAACCAGTTATCCGGCCACACACAGCAACCTCCTGGCCCATACCCACTGACACCTCTTTATTTAAAAATGTATACACACACACACACACACACACACACACACACACACACACACACACACACACACACACACACACACACACACACACACATAGCCCTGGCTGGTGTAGCTCAGTGGATGGAGCGCCAGCCTGCGAACCAAAGGGTTGAGGTTGGATTCCCAGTCAGGGCACATGCCTGGGTTGCAGACCAGTTCCCCTATCCCCAGTAGGGGGCACTGGAGAGGCAACCACACGCTGATGTTTCTCTCCCTCTCTTTCTCCCTCCCTTCCTCTCTCTCTAAAAATAAATAAATAAAACCTTTTAAAAATGAATAAATAAAAGTTCATTGAACATGTTGACATTTCTGCACCTCCTTTGAGATTTGCTGAATTGATTTAAGAGCTGGGAGGAACTGGAAGTCTCGTAGAAAGCCTCATTTTATGGAGCAGCCAGCAGATTCTTGTTAGGACTACAGCCTGTGGGCCTCAGGGAGTGGGAGGCCCCACCCTTCTGGGAAGGAGGGTGGAGGAGTGTAGATGGGAAAGAAGGTACCACAGCTCAGTGGGGTCCTGGGTGGTGCCCCGAATGGGGCCCCAAGCTTGGCTCCTGGGGTAAATGGACCAGGGAGCACCGGGTTCTCTGGAGGAGTCTACTCAGAGCACATAATCACAGACCCCGCTGGGACCACTTGCCCCTTTCAACAAAGCAGAGGACACTTTTACACCGGGACCAAGTGACCTTGCCTCCGCCCTGCCCCTCAGGAGTCTGTGACACCTGCAGTGCCTTCCGACGCAGACATGCCACCTCTGCTTCATGCTGCTTTGCAGCTGAGGGCCTGGCACCCGTCGCAGCCCAGGCCGCGGCTCACTTCTCGCCGTGGGAAGCGAGCAGAGCCAGAGGTGTCGCTGTCCCTCTCAGAAGGGGAAGGGGCGTCGTCTCAGGGAGGGGAGTGGCTGCCCCGGGAAGAGGTCGTCAGCAGTCCACCCCAGGGCTGCGAGGAGTGTGCTCTTTGAGCCAAGGTGAGCCTGCCCTGGCTGCTGCTCACACCCCCTGGGGCTGGGCCTGCGGGGGGGCTGGGCCTGCGGGGGGGGGGGGGCTGGGCCCACGTGTCGTGCTATGCTCCCCGGCAGTGAAACCTGGTGTGTGAGGGAGACTGGAAGATGCCCCTCACCTCCACCTCCTCCCTGTTCTTCGTGGGCGTGCCCCTGGGCTCCTTCATGTCCAGGCAACTGTCAGACAGGTAAGGGAGCTGGGAGGGAGGAAGGGTGGGTGAGGGCTCCTTCTCCCTTTCCTCTCCAGAGAAAGAGGGGCCCCTTGGGCCAACAAATCAGTGACAGGAGGAGTCGTGATATCTCCTCTCTTCCTGCCCTCAGCCCCTTTCCGGCACCCACAGAAAAGTGGAGTCCTCCTATCACCGACCCCCTCAGAAAAGGCACGCTGCCGTCACCACTGCCTCCACCCCGCCCCGACTCTCCAGTGATGTGATACATTCACGAGCAGCCATCAGCCAGTCGGGGCCAGACAGCAAGCACCGCTTGCTAACGGTGCACTCACCTCGGGTCAGGTCCCTGACCAGTCCTGGGGGCCACGGAGCTGACCCAGAGCCCCCAATCTGGAGGAGAGGGCAGCACAGCTCAGGGAGAAGTGCCCCTGGGTGTTATGTGGGGACCAGAATAGGAAGGTGGGAGTGCTAAATGCCAGTGCTGGGGGAGACCACTCCCCAGGGAGTGAACATCCCTCCCCCAGTTACCAAGCCCAGCAGGACCCCAAGCTCAACAGCCTGAGACCTGAGTTTGGAAAATGGGGCAGGAGACAGCTCACACCTGTGCTCCCTTCCGCCCATTGGTCACTCTCAGAAGGTGAAACTGCGACTTAAGCCAACTACAGGGTCACTGATGGATGTTGCTGGAAGACACACATTCCACAGAGCAGTGGTTTGCGATATTGGTGGCACATTAGACTCACCTGGAAAAAGTGTTTAAATCCCAACATCCAAACTGCATCCCAGACAATAAGGATCTCGGGAGGCGGGTACAAGCAGCAGAGATTTTGAAGGTGAGTCCAAGGGCAGCCAGGTTGAAGACCACTGCATGGAGGGAGTCTTGTGCTGGAGTGGCAGAGTTCCCACGCTGCTGACGTCAGATGGGCCCCGCACTCTGCACCGCATCCGCCTTCTGGAAATGTGGTGACAGCTTCTACCCGTGGCCCATTCTAAAGAGATTTCCACGTGTCCCCTACTCTGCACTTTTGAGATATGGTGCTCCCACGGGAAGCTTAGAATCTCAAGGGGTAACTCTGGGGCACATGGATACGTGAGGCCTCACCAAGGAAGAACCTGGGCAGATGGGAATGGCAGGGGGAGAAGTCTGTCTTAGCCCTGAAAATAAGGAAGCCTGTGGCGACGCCTGACTCTGTCTGCACTGTGGCCGTGTCCACAGTGCCGCTGTGACCAGCTCCTGACGTGCATTGTACTGTGACTGCCGCATGCCATGCCTTGTGCTGGGTGTGCTCTGCAGGTTTGGCAGGAAAAACATCCTCTTCGCCACCATAGTGGTGCAGACTGGCTTCAGCTTCCTGCAGATTTTCTCTGTCAACTGGGAGATGTTCACTGTGTTATTTGTCATCGTCAGCATGGGCCAGATCTCCAACTACGTGGTGGCCTTCATACTAGGTAGGAATGGCTTCTCATCCTTGGGACTTCTCCTTCCAACCCTCCGAGAGGCCCGGGAAGAGGGGGGCTGCTGAAGGGAGTGCTTGTACTCAGCGCAGAAGGAAGCACCTCATGCTTCCAACATGTGACCAGCCTCGGACACGTAGGGGGTGAGGGGAACTGCAGCCACTTGTTCCTCCCCGATCCGGCCACGGGCAAAGCAGATAGATGTTCGTGGGGCACCGGCTCTGTGGCAGGTCCTGAACTGTGGTGGTGGGAACCAGCCACATAACAACCCAGACACATTTCGGGAGCACAGGGCTTGACAGAGGCGGCGAGTGGGGGTGTTCAGGGAAGGGCAGCCCAGGGATGTGGGTGAGCTGAGCTGTGACAGCCCGAGACATCTGCCTCAGACAGGGCAGGTAAGGGTTCCTGGCAAGCTGTACATGGCCCAAGGACAGACTTTCGATAGCTGGCGTGTCCGGTACACAGGTGTCAGACAGGAGTTCAGCGCCAGCCCGCCATCGCTGGGCAGATCTGCTCTCACCCCGAGTCAGAGCCCACCCCGAGGGCCTATCAGCGGTGTGCAGGACCAGCCAAGTTGCTGATAGGAGTCCTGTCTCCCAGCAGCAGCCTTGCTTTGGAAACAGCAGGCTACATGAGGGGGACCCACCAGCTAAGGGCCATGAGGAGGCCCCAGGGCCCTCACCAACTTTTCCTTGGGGGAAGGGAGGTGATCCAGGAAAGTGGATCAGGAAGTCCACCGGAGTGAGAGTCTCCAACATGCTCCCTGAGCCCACCTGCTCTGTCGGAACGGGTGAGAGAAGGGGAATTGAAGGGCACCTCTGGGACCACAGACACCAAATGCCATCATGTCTGTGTGATAATATATCTCGTGGGCTCGGTGCTGTCCCAGTTTGTTCACGTGGTCACAGTGTCGTTATTAGCAGTGCTCCTTTAATGAAAGGCCAGTGATGCTTCTCACCTTGAGTCTGGATCCAGTGCGATGATCCTGATCGCCTCTAGAAGTCCGGATGACTCGCTGGCTCTAGAAATATGGTGTTTTCTTAGCTGAGGATGTGTGCAACCTTTGTCGGGTTTCGAAGAGGGAATTATTCAAATTCCACTCCTTTAATCATTTGTGAAGAACCCCTTGCCATGGGCCCAGCCTCAGCGTCCGCAGAGAGGAGGGCAGAGAGCGTGCCGAGGCCACGTGGACTGGGCAGATAGCACACTCTCCACAGGCTGCGGCGGGAGGGGCCTCTGCAGGGGAAGGAGCAAGTGAGTTCTCTGTGAAGGAGGTCATTTGTGTAGAGGACACAGACAGCTTCGGGACAGTGGTGCTGGAACCTGGAGCGATTAGAGGGATTTGGGACAGAAGCTGCAACCTCCTGCTGCCGGTTGGTCCTCAGGACACAGGATTTGGGGGCTCAGCAAAGCCTATCATTCGCATGGTCTATGTCCCCCAGAATCCGTGTTCCTTCTGGTGACCCTCCCGATACCTGAAACTCAGTGTATGGCTCTGCTTGGGCCAGAGACACACCAAAGACTAAACAGGCCCCACAAAACCGAGGGCGCTGCCAGAGGCCAGCACATCCGTTTAGGGGGACGGAAAGGACCGTCTGAGGGAGAAGGCAGAGAACCGTGGTGAAGCCGGGAAGCCCAGCTGGTGGATTGGCAGCCAGGTGGGGTAGGTGCTGAGTGTGGAGTCCCTCAGGTTCCGCTGGGCATCGGTGTTGAGACCGGCCTTTCCAGTGGCACAGGGTGCCTCCCCAGTGAGGGTGGATGAGGACAACCCACCCTAAGCCCCCTGCAGGCAAGTCCTGCCCTGCTGCCTGTGCTGAGCAGTGGGAGGGCCGGCGGGCTGTGGGGGGCAGGGGTGGGGGGGGGAGTAAGATCACAGAAGATCAGTCAGAGCCCAGGTGTTCCAGCCAGGCAGGGTGCTGGGTGCAGCAGGCACCCCATCAGCCTGGGGCAGAGCTGCTATAGGGTGCCCTGGAAGCCTCCCTGGCTGTAGTTTTACTCCACTGTGTTCTGGGGGAAGCTGCTGACCCCGTGTCCTGATAGGGGACCCTTTGTGTTGGGCTCTCGGGTCTGAACCTTCTTTAGAAAATCACTAAAACCACCCTCCTGCTGGACCAGCTGGGCTCCCGCATCAGCGCCCGGAGGGGCGATGGGCCCAGCGTCAGGGACGGCTGAGGCTGGATGAATCCCTGCAGCGGCACAGCAGCGCCCTCTGGCGTTTGGGTGCCGACGCAGTGAGTTCCTGGTTCTGACTAAATTTAGGATCCCACACCAGGGGTCTGGGCGGCCAGGTTCTGTCCAGGCCTTGACTTTGCCCTCTGGCTCTTGGGCAGAGCTGGCAAGACTGTACAGCGAGGACCCCAAGGTTTCAGGGTCTCCACAGTCATTCAGGAAGCTGGCTTACCCCTTTCGCTAAGTGGTGCCGAAGTGGGTCCACTCTTGCTCTGCTTTTCGACAAGACTGCCAGAGTCCTGGGAGACCAGGAGAGGGACGGAGGGAGCAGTGCTGCCCACAGGGACAGAGAGTGGCAGAACCTGGAAGTGGGGCCACCTGAGGGCTGCTGGGTTAGGAGGGAATGACACTCAGGACCAAGGACACTGACCCTCCCTGCACTCCAGCTGCTGGCACAATCTCCTGCGGTTTCCCAGAAATAAGGCCTTCAACCTGCCCATGGGCTTCTGGGTAAAACACCAGCAACATCCCTCATAACTAGCTGCTTGCATTTATTTCACACACTGAACTGCCTCCGGTCTTGACTGACTCGTTAAGTTAGCAGTTCCCTGGGGCTCCTGACATCAGCCTCCGCTGCGGCATTGGCGCCAGCGTGCCGGGCTGTTTAAAGCTCCGCTTCCCCTGCTGTCCCTTCCTTTTGATCAGGATTCTGGGATTGCATCCTCCCTTATGACCTGGGCTACCAGGACACTCAGGCAAAATTCAAATTGAACTACCTTCATTATGTAGCCTTTATCAGCTACATATTTTTTTTTATGTTTTCAAACTGAGATATAATTTTCACATCATAATACTCACTCTTTTAAAGGTTAAAATTTGGTGGTTATTGGCATATTCACAAAGTTGCACAGCTGCCAACTCTTGTTTAACTCCAGAATGTTTTCCTCACTTCCAAAAGACACCCGGGCCCTTCAGTGGGCCCTCCCCAGTCCCCTCGTTCCCTGGCCCTCGAAACCACTAACGTACTTTCTGTCTCTGTGGGTTTGTCTGTCCTGGAAACTCCTTATCAATGGAATCACACAAGATGAGGCCTCTGTGACTGACTTCCTCCAATGAACGTTTTCAAGGTCTGTCCATGATGTAGCTCGAACCAACTTCCCGTTGCATGTACATACCACAGCTTGTGCATCCATTCAGCAGAGGGTGAACATTCAGGTTGTTTACTCACCCTGTGGAATGGATTCAGTGGCCCTGACCAGGGGGGCACCCAGATTCCGTTGGTGGTGACAGGCAGTGGGCCAACAGGACTTGCACCTTTGGCTTAGATGTCAGAGTTTTACTCCCCAGAGACTCTCAGAGGCCCGACCAGACTAAGATCAACTGGCCTTTGCCCTGGGAGTAAAAGCCTGGCGGGTAGAAGAGGCCAGGACCAGAGCCCCAGCCAGCACAGCCTGAGCCCCGCCCCCTGCACCCGCCGCATGGCCAGCCAACCACGAGGGAAGCTTGCAGCAGCTTCAGGCCGGCGAAGGCCCTCAGGAACTGCGCTCCTCTCTCAGTGTTCCTCAGGCTGGTGGGTCTCCCGCTGGTTCAAAGAGTAGCCCAGGCAAAAAAAAATGCAAGTCCTCACACCTGGAAAGGGGATACATACAGCCTCACCCATCTCCCACGTGTGTCTCCACTAGAACCTCAGTTGAAAGACTGCTTGATGGGGCCGAGGCTTTGCCTCCAGATGATTTTTTTCTAGACATTACCCATAGGTCAAACATGTCAGACGTCACTCCTGGCTGCCCCATTTATTATGTGTGAATTTAGGCAATTCGTTCCAGCTCTTTAAGTCTCGGCTGATTACATATAAAATAGAAGCAATATTCTTCTATAATTGTTGTGAAGTTTTAAACACATAATACAGGTAAACCCTTGGTCTGGGACCTGGCACACAGTGCCTACTCAAAAAAAAAATGCTAGCTATGAAGATGACGATGATGATGATGATGATGGTGCTGGTGGAGGAAGGTGATTATCCAAAGTCCAAGAGCAGGAAGGCGTGCTAACCAGAACGATTCAGGTTCGTGCCATCCCTGCTGCTCCACACGCGGAGGAGAGAGCCAGACTTACGACGCTTCTGTCCCCAGTGATTACTCAGCAAAGTGAGAACAACACTGTTTGGGCCAGGACCTGCCCTGAGGGAGGGAGATTATCCAGGAGCCCAGCTGCAAACTGCTCTCCCTTATCAGGGTGACCAGGCCAGGAGGGAGCTCCCTGGGCCTCACGATTCTGCAAGGTTCTCACTCTGTCCCGTGAGCTTTCTGTTTTCCACAACCCAGTCCCCTGCCACTTCTCTTCTGAGTCTCTGTTTAGAAATACGGCACCCCCCATTCAACCCCAAATCACGGCTGCCACAGGCAAAGAGTCTAGAAACCACAGCAGGGGCAGGCTTCCTGTGGACAGATAGGAAGGCCATTAACGGGGTAAGAAAAATCTGGAAATAACATTCACCGTCCGCAAAGAGGCCAGGCCTGATCCTTGGAAATGAGCTTAGAGGCTGAGATGCCCTGGGGTGGTTGGTCTTGTGTCCTCAGTCTGGGATGGGAGGGGCACTCAGGACTGGCCGCTTGGGTCAGTCTGGTTTCAGAAATGGCTGTTGCAGAGGGAGCCACTGAGGCCCATGGCTCAGTCGGGCTGAGTGACGAAGAGGGGGTTGGGGTAGGTAGGCAGTGAGCATGGGGGACCAGCCAAAGTGGTCATTTTACTGCTTCTCTGGAATGAGCCCTTTATTCCTTAGCCTGTACCAGGGCGTGTAAACATGATCGAGAAAATCTCTCTTGAGCCCTGGCTGGTGTAGCTCAGTGGACTGAGCGCAGGCCTGCGAACCAAAGAATCGAGGTTCGATTTCCAGTCAGGGCACATGCCTGGGTTGTGGGCCAGTTCCCAGCATGGAATGCATGAGAGGAAACCATACACTGATATTTCTCTCCTTCTCTCTTTCCCTTCCCCTCTAAAAATAAATAAATAAAATCTTAAAAAAAAAGAAAAAGAAAATTTCTCTTGAAAGCCAATCTGAATGGTGTTTGAATGGTCCACTTTGTATTTCCTGGGCTCCTTTTCTGTCATGGTGGCAAGACCTCAAACAAAAGGCAGAGTGGTTGCCATAGCCCAGGTCTCCGCCCCGGGACCACGAGTGGACTCTGTGGAAAGGGCCCGGAGCTCTATAACAACAGAAGGAGCCTGTTCTTGGATTCTGAGGGGTGGGCACGTCTCTGGAACCGTGCTGAGCCAGCCGTTGTGGTGCCGAGCAGCTCGGGACCCACAGCCACCTGTGTGTCCTTCCCCCAAACAGGGCCCCGCACACTGAGCAGTCTTGGGCCATTGTGGTGTCTGGGAACGCTCTGTGGAGTTCCCCGGGTGTGTGGCCAGCTCCAGGGCTGCCACCAGCAGGCCAGCAGAACAGTGCCTTCTTTTCTCGGTCTGAATGGCTGAGGTCTGCCTGGGGCAGATCCCTGGGCATGATGTGGCTCCAGGGCCATCCGGCCCCTGGACGCTGGGGCCTGCTCTGTGCACCGACAGAGCAGCTGGGTCCCAGGGCTCCAAGAGCGTCCTAGCCTCACCCAGCAACTGTGACCGCTCCACGGTTTCCCCACAGGCCAGGGTCCGTGTCTGTCCTGCAGAGAATTATGGGAAAGGCTAATGCACTGTGACCCCATGGAGCCCCTCAGAGGAGCCCCCACTGTCTCCTGGAACACCTCTCTGCCCCCCCACCCTGGGGCTCAGGTTTTGGAAATGTGGCATTGCTCAAAGAGGTTGCCTCTTGGGGCTGGGCTGCTGTTTCTATGACATAAAATGATCTTTAAAGAAAAAAAACCTATAGCTCCTTTTAAATCTCATGAAAACTTACCTTCCATAAGGTGTTAAGTCTCGAGTCCCTTCCCACCTTCCTCCACCCTGACCACACCTGCCCTGGGCCATGAGGCAAACATTTCCCCTTCCTGAGTGACTACAGTTGGAACTCTGCCAGGTAGTGATGTAAAAAGCCAACATTAAAGTCAGTGAAAATGCTAATGTTCCTCCCTTGTTTCGAACAGGCACAGAAATTCTTGGCAAGTCAGTGCATATCACATTCTCCACATTAGGAGTGTGCACATTTTTTGCACTTGGCTCCATGCTGTTGCCACTGTTTGCTTACTTCATCAGAGACTGGCGGACGCTGCTGCTGGCGCTGACCGTGCCCGGGGTACTGTGTGTCCCAGACAGACCCCCGCTGCAGGCCAGCGCAGCCTGGGGCCCGGAGCCTGGGGCTGACCGAGTGCCGGCTCCCTGGTGCTGGCTGAGGCCAGCCTGCATGCTGGGGTTGAATTCTCCACCGTCCCACAAAGCACCTTTCTTGGGAGACCCAGAGCCCCGCTCGCCCCAGACTCTCCCCACTCCTGTCTGCTGTTGGTGGTTGTTTTCATTTGTGGAGACGGTCCTGTGGAGTTTCGTTGTTTTGAATTCCATTCCCCTGCTCTTTTGACACTTTCCTCTCTCTAGGAAATCTCTTTCTCCTTTATGGACTCAACTAACCTAGTTCCCGTCCTCAGGCATCTGAGGGGTGCCCATTTATCTGCTTGGTCTGGAAGGGCGAGAGAATTCCCTTTGTTTAATGAGTTGTTCCAGAAATGTTTTCTCCTGCCTCGCCCCTCCAACCCGATTTAGGCATCGGTGTGGGAACCCCCAAAACCGCTGACACAGCCCTGGTTCCACGCACTGTGGTAGATTTTGAGTGACAGAGCAGATTAAGAAAAGGGCAATGAGGTCTCATCTATGCCTTCTTTTTGGGGATTCCCCATTTCTTTGGTTTTTCACATTTAAGCAAGAAGAAAGGGATTTCTTCCATCACTGGTTCTGGCTTGTCTGGCTTGTGCTCTCTCTCATTCTTTTTGGTTTGCTTTCATCATACCAAAGTCAAATCTCCCAGCAGGGACTGGTTTTTCTGAACTGTTTGGTCTCTACCCACTTACACACCACAGTGAACATCTCTTTGATCATTGTTTGGAACTCACAGATCCACACTCATGGTGGCCCTGTCCTTTCGACGCACTGCCTGGGAAGTGGCCTAAATGGTTCTTGTCTTGCTGTGAGTGTTAGACAGCCACAGAGGCTGACAGGTAGCACATCTTGGCCTTGCTGGAGCTGATGGCTGAGGTTGGACCCACTCCAAGCTACTGTCCTTTAACGACCTCTAAGACAGCTATGGTTTACCGTCTATTTTTGGCACGGGAATGTGGGAGGGGAGGGAGCCTTTTTTTCCCCTTACTTCCCTGGAATTTGAGAGACAGTGTGTTAAAGATTAGCTACAATGCAGATTCAGAGGTTTCCTCTGGGACCAGGTCCGAGGGTCAGGGAAGCTTCTGGTGAAGGAGGGCATGGCATATCGACACAGCCCCGCCTCCGAGGGAAGCAGGGGCCCCAGATCTACAAGATCAGGGAGCTTTCTGGAATGAGAGTCACCATCATCCTCCTCATTGTCATCGTCATCGTCACACCCTCCCCACAACCTCCTCGCTGACCGAATCTAGTATTAAACAGTGTTGGTGGCCCAAGAGGCTCTGAAGACACAAGATAAGCTTATTCGTAGGTTATTTTCTGCCTCTTCAGATGAATGATTTTAGTCCTTGATGTTCCCTGGCTCTCGTTGTCCTTTTGGCATAAGAGCCGAGTACTTTACAAATATGTTCTAATCAAACATATAATAGTATAATTCTATCAGAGAGAGAGGAAGAATGAAAATAGAAGGGTTCTAAACGACTGGAAGAGATTAGTTGGGATTTTAATTTGTGGGCCTTGGCTCTTTGCCTTGGGACCAGCTAGCACAACAAGGATGAACTCTGATGGGTGAGCCCCTGAGTTTGCAGCCGAGAAGGCCCATCCCGAGGAGCCGCTGACTCTTGCCCGAGGGACAGTTCTTTCTCCGCTGCACACGGCTGGGCTGTGGACACAGTGTCCCGGGCCAGCACCGCCCAGAGAGAGGCCACCTGGGGCCCGCAGCCTGGGGCCAGCACCACGCTGTCCCGGAAAGGTTAAAACAACAGTCTTATCATTTTCTTCTAAGAACAAAATCACTTCATTCAGAACATCTCAACCCTACGGGCCAGCCTTCCCAAAGCGATGCTCCTCCGTCCCCTGGGCTGGGATGACGGGGGCAGTGCCTGGGCTGCCGGGCTCCCCGCCGTTTGCTCATGTGGGACACAGGCTCCCCAGCAACACCCTGCCCTGTTCCCTCAGGCTTAACACTACAGAGAGCCTGTCACGGGCAGCCCCATTTGGTGCTCCACTGCCTTTCACACCATCGGCTAGACTCGATTCTCCATGAACTGAAACACTCTACACCTAAGCCTACAGCTGGCCTGAGTCGGTGGGCTGAAAACAGGAGGGGACCTACACAGAGTCACTGCAGGAGGCTTGGAATGTTTTACACCGCAAGTTCCCTCTAGAGGGGAAGCCCTTCCTGGCAGTGAGAAGGTCTCAAGCACAAGTGGAGTACGGAGTACATGTCCGGGGTGGGGAAGGAGCCGACAAATGCAACGCGGGGAGAGTCTTGTGATATCGAGCTGCGGACGCCAGCAGGCCCCTGACGCGGTGATGGCCCTCATGGCCCGCAGTGAGGAAGGCAGGACGTTGCCAAGAACAGCCTGGCTGGGGAAGGGTACTGCCTGGAAGTAGAAGCGCACAGGACACACACAGAGACTGTGTAGTGAGACCTCTCATCCCACACTGTGATGGTAGCCACAAGCCACATGCTGCTTTTAAAATTAAAATTAAATAAAATTGGAAATTTGTTTCCTCAGTCGCCCTCATCACACTAGCTCAAAGCCACACGTGGTCAGTGGCTACTGTCCTGGACCGACCAGCCCTGACTACAGAAGGTCAGTGATCTCCCGTCATCGCAGCCGCCTCAGGGGCCCAGTGAGGGCAGGTCTGGACCAGCGCAGACCAGGCTCAGTTTTCCACCACGGTGCAAGCAGGCTGGGCCGGGGAGCCCAGGCGTGGCCACTGGGCGAGTCGTGGTTCGCTCTGAGGGCCCTCCTACCAAGGCTCCGGAGGGGCCCGTTTAATCATAGGGAGCTTCCGAGTCTGCTACGTGGAACTTGCTTTCTACGATCACTAAGTATTGAGAAATAGGTTAAAAAAACATGAGCTGGCAGAAGAATGGCTAAGCGATTCTAAGACACAAAAATTAGGAAATAATTTAAAAATCTAAATAAATATGTTCATGACAGAAAGAAATAGAAATAGAAAAAAGAGAAAAATGAGCAAAGAGGAGAAGTCAACTGTGTTTGGCCATCAGTTAAAATGCAGAATGATTGTATAATTTTAAAAATTAACTTTCTAGACATTTACTTAAAAAAAAATTGGGTGTCTCCCCTAAACTGGTCTGGGCGCTCACTGGCCTGGGAATCTGCTGCCACTCACGAGAACAGGCCACAGGCCGGTGTCCCTGCACCCTCCTGTTCCTCGGACCACAGCAGAAGCCGTCCTGTCCACAGTAAACTGGAGAGCATCTCCGGCTGGGGCACCCGGAAGTCTCCTCGGGATGGACACGTGGAAGACATTGGGCTGTGCTTCTCCCACGAGCCACCCTTGGCCGTGAGGTCTGGGCCGGCCCTCTCCAGCTGCCGTGGCTGAGCCGCACACACCTTGGATGGTGGCCCTCGCGGTCTGGTCTGCGCCCGGCTTCCAGCGCAGCTGATGATCTGTCTTGGGATTTGATCAGAACTTTGAAACTCGAAGGTGCTTTTATTTATTCTTATAATCAACAGAAATCATACGAGGCCTCACTCCCTTGATTTTCTTTAAAAAGACACACTAGAATTTTACAAGATAGAAATTCTTTCAGGGGTCAACTTATAGTTAATAGTCGAAAACCCTGCCATGGCGGAAAATTATAAACCGCTAACAATGAATTCTAGGTTTATTCCTGAATCTCCCAGTGGCTGATATCCCAGAGGAGATTCGGAGAGGCGGAAGCGATCATCCAAAAAGCTGCAAAAATGAATAGCACGGCTGGGCCGGGGGTGATTTTTAATCCCGCGGAGGTAAGTAAGCATTGCAGACGTTCCCCTCTGAGGTCAGCTGCACATTCCCGATTTTACGGCATTTAAACTTAGCTCAACATGCTTCGCCCACCGCGTACCAGGCTTTGTCCACGAACGGTGACTGAATTCTGAGATAAACCCACCTCAAAGGGCTGTGTGAACTAAGTGTGACGATATGTGTAAACTGCTTAGCAGAGAGCAAATATTAACTACATGTCAGTTCTCTTCCCTTCTGTAAATTCATTTCCAACTTTTAAAAAATATTTTATTTATTTATTTTCAGAGAGAGGGGAAGGGAAGGAGAAAGCGTGGGAGAGAAACATCATTGTGTTGTTGCCTCTCATGTGTCCCCCACTGGGGACCTGGCCAGCAACCCAGGCAAGTGCCCTGACTGGGAATCGAACCTCGATCCTTTGCTTCACAGGCCCACGCTCAATCCACTGAGCTACACCAGCCAGGGCATTTCCAACTTTTTATTGGTATCACTCCATACTATTATGGTCGCAGCTCTGTACTGGTGATTTTTGAAGGTCCCGATTTCACTGAGAAATGTGTTTCAGGGACATTCCACCACGCACTCCCAGTGAGCCCTGGCTCTTACCAAAGCCTGTGGAAGAAGCTGTGTGTCTTCTGTCTCGCTGTGTTGCATCTAGAGCTTTAAGGCGGGAGGACTCGCCCTGCAGGCAGGAGGCCTCAAGGAAAAGCTGATACACTGTGGAAGCAGCGGCCCTTTCTGACAGTCAGAGAGGGCTCACAGTGTTCTCGGCCATGTCCTTCACTGGCCCCCAAAGAAAAGCAACAGTAGACACAGTTCCTGTGTTTAAGGAGAGTGGAATGTCACTGAGAGCGTCCAGAGGATTAGACGAAAGATACACGGTGACATGAGGGAGGAAATACTAAGTAGCCAAGGAGTGGACACTGTGACAGAAGAGAGAGAGAAAGCTGAGCGACTCAGGGCTGAAGAGGCAGGCCCGAACCAGGGAGAGGATGGGGCAGGCTATTCCTGGCTAAGAGAAGGGCAGGGGCTGCTCAGGACATGAGGACGGTGGCCACAGCGACAGTATGCAGGTCCGCAGGGCTCTGTGGAGGGTGGTGGGCATGGCCACACTCCACCCCAAGGCTTCCTCCATTTCTGGCCTCCAGGGCCTTTGACAGAAGCAGATACTCTGGCAGTGGCTGGAGGATTAATTACAGTGGCCATGAACCCGAGATCTCAGAGGGCTGCCAGGACAAACATCACTTCATCCTTCGCTCTTCAGACCAAGAATTCTAATTTTGCATCCATTCTCAACTTTAGTCAGTTTAACTGGATGCAAAAATTACATCAGGAGTGTCTAACACTTCTGCATCTCAGGGCTGTGCTGGATATTTCCTGGGATTTATTGGCTATGCAGTCACATTCCCGTCTTTGAGGAACGTACAGTCTAGGCGCAGAGGTCGGAACTACGTGGATAAACGCAGCAATGAAGCATGTGAGGGAGCGAGTCATAGATACATGAGAATGAGGTCCAGCGTTCAAACGCGTGCTCCAACAGCACCTTTCTCCTACCACGAGGCACGCTGCACCTGAACCGCGCCACAGCGAGGACGGGGGCTTGTGCTTTCCCAAGGCCGGTCATCTCCCCTGCTCATCTCCCAGGTGGGGTCCTCTTTCGAAGGACCTGCAGGGCCGGGGGTCAGCAAATGCAGCCTGCACAAGGTGCTGATGGAGAGAGATCCTTCCAGGTGCCAGGCGCTAGTTTCATGTTCATGCTACCTGTGGGCCCATTTCTCAGGAGAGGAAACTGAGGTACAGAGAGGCAAAGGAATTTGCCCAGGCTCACACAGCTAGAAGTCTCGCCAGGTCTCTCTTGTGCATGCACTTACCTGGGCTTTCTTACCTGATGGAAGGGGCAGTGCGTTAACTTGGCCAGGAAAGAACCTAAAGTGGTATCCTGGCCGACGATCCCAAGCTTCTCTGGCTCCCTTTCTGAAGCACCTTCTACCTGCTTGCGGGGCCTGGTCCAAATGCTGGCTCCACACGGCCAAGCATAAGCCCTGGATACAAGACTGTTCTTGTCCTGAGGTTTCCAAACATGGCTGCTTATCACAATCACACAAGGGGATTAAAATAAACACCCCCAGGCCTCTGGGCCCCAGGAAAGAGTCTGGTAAAGCAGGTTTGGGGGGACCTGGCAATCTGCATTTTCACAAGGGCCCTGTGAGAGCCCCAAGTGTTAGCACAGGCCTGACCCGCGGGCCCCCTCTGTGCATGGCATCGCTCCCCATGCCCTGCAGCTTCCCTCCAGCTAAGCAGGGACTTGGCTTTGCTGTCATCACAGAGCGCAGCACGCCTCAAACAGTGTAGAAAAAACGAGGTAATAGGCCTGTCTGAGTCTTCCCGAAAGAAGGGCGCTGCTATCTGGGGACCACCCGCTGCAGAGGCAAGGCCGGCGGCCTCACTGCTTTCCTCACGGAGCCTTCTCTCCAGCCCCATCGCACGCACATGGGCCCCTGGGGCCACGAAGTCCTTACACTTCATCCCAAGGAGATTCCCCACCTCAGAGCCTGTGGTGCTTTTAGTTTCGATGTGCATGAGCTTGGTTAGCTAGGTTCCTCACACAGGGCCAGTTAACAGGTAAATTAGGAGTAAAGGAGGGAAGTCCACTGACAGCAGTAAGAAACGGCCACTCCCCACTGCCAGCCAGCACCTTCGTCTCCATGGCGCGGGGACAATGTCAGCAGTTAGAAGGCGCTGGGCGTGTCTGTAGCTCAAGTACTATGCTAAGCTTTATGCACATGATTTCATTTGATCTTCTCCCAATTATTTTAGAGAAGTAAATGGGGGCTCGGAGAGGACAACTAGTAACTTTACCACAGTCCCAGAGTTAACCCAAATCTGTCCTGATACGGAGACGTCAGCAAGAAAGGTGTAGAAAGCAGAGAGGGCCCTCACGGCGGTTTGGGTCTGTATGGCAGTGCACCAGGCACGGCCCATGGTGATTCCAGTGCTGGGAGCTCAGGGTGGTTTGGGACTGGAGCTCAGGGTGATTCAGGACCCAGAGCAAGGAGCGGGAGTCAGAGCAAGGCTGCATTAACAGGCCTTCTAGAAAGGGACAGCGGGGCCATTGTTATATATTTAAAAGGTTTCTGTCTGAAGTGGGCCACAGACATTTTAAAGTATTAGAAGAAAGCATCATATATGTAGATGGCCTTCCCCTCGAATTCCAGACTTCTAAGCATATTCAAGGTGAAGTGAGAGTTACACATGTTAAGTTTTTTTCTACATTGTCGGTGCCAAAGACACTTCCTCAATACCTCTTAATCTCCTGGTTATTTGCATTATTTTATCTCCAGGAGCTAAAACCCCTGAAGCAACAACAGAAAGCCTTCATTCTGGACCCTGTTCAAGACTGGGAACATTGCCACCATAACCATCATGTCTTTGCTGCTGCGGTAAGTCATTGGTGACCTGGCAGGGTGGCACGCGGCACGTAAGGTTCGACCAATTTGCTTTAAGTCAAAGGAACATCAGGGCGAGGCCTGGGTCTGCCTAAGACAAATAAAAGTTATACAATTTTAAGTTAATTGGAGATGGCTCGATTCAATTCATGGGGCTGGACATTGAAAAAGAAAAGTCACAGGGAAAAATATTTAAGTTTGCAGTAAGCCCACCAGGAAAGGGTCCCTCCCCTCCTAAAGTTACTGGGATTAAGACCGACTAAGGATGTGCCCTGACCAACGGATGGCTCCGTTCGTGGGAACCACCAAGGTCAGTGCACACCAAGGATGTGCACCCAAGGGTTTTCAGGTTTGATGCCCCGTCCGGGCACATACAGCAGTCAACCGATCTGTGTTTCTCTCTCTCATAGATGATATTCCCTCTCTCTCTTTCTCACACCCTTCCTCCTTCTCCAGTCCTCAGATGAGGAGGAAAAAAAAAAAGACTAATGCTGTCCCTGGTGCCTGAGGCGGATATGCTAATTCAGGTCCAGCTTCCTGAAGCTTTGCTGGCTATGGAGAGTGAGGTTAGAATAACCTGAACCCCTGCGGCCTGTATTTGAGTTTTGACAAGCTTTTCATTCTTCCCAATTGCAAACTAACAAGACATTGAAATGGTGAACTGACGTCTACACTGAGCTCAATAATGGATCTGCCGAGAAATGAGGAAGAAGAAAAAAGGAAGCGCCTACCCGTGACCGCAGCAGCACAGGTGGCCATCAGAACTAGCAGGTTCCGGCGCAGCTCGTCTGTTTATGGGATCGTCCTGCTCTGCAGGTCGAGGAAAGCAGTGACAGAGCTTATGACTAAGTTAAGCAAGTGTGTCTGGGCCCCTGGCTTCCCTCCTGTTCTCACCTGTCAGCACAGTCGCTGGGGCTTTGTCGGAGCCGCTCTCACCACCAAATGTGAAAATCACTGCGATTCCTAGAGCAATGCAGTCTAATTTTTGGCTGCGTTTTGGATTAGCCGCTGTGCTCCCCAACCAAGTTAAGTATGTATAAAAATATCCAACGGTGTCCTGGAAAGATTTTTCAGATATCCTCTGCTTTTCACGGAAATAATAAGCAAATTCTGCACAGGGGAGTCTGCCGAGGGCAGTAATTTTCCCACAGACAAGCTTTTGTGGGGCTGTCAGCTGTGATGACAGGTCGTGTGTTGTGCACTTTGTGATACTCAGAAGCATCACGAGACTGTCACTCTTTCCCTAAAGTGAGTGTTGGTAGGTCCGTTGGGATTTACAGTAAGTGGATCGCACAGTATTCCCTCCTTCTCTTCTTCCTCCTCCTCCTCTTCTCCTTCTCCTTCCTGTCTTCTGATAAGAGTGAAGTCTGGATTTTAGGTTCACTGACATAACTGACATACATTCTTTCTTCAAATACCGCCTCGCAGGCAACGAGGGGGTCACAGGGTTCTGGAAAGAGTGAAGTGTAAGACTAACTGGACCGGGATGGGTATTGTTGCGCACTGGTGTGGCTGGACCCCCACTGTCCAGTGGAAGGTTCTGCAGCTTTACCTGTGTGGTGCACAGGCTTTACCTGTGTTGTCCACTATAGTGGCCACTAGCCTACTCAGCAGCTGGAGTGTGGCTAGTGCACCAGAGGAACTGACTCTTTGATTTTTATTTAATGTTATTTAAATAAAAGTAAATACATTTATTTGCTTTTAAACAGCCATGAGTAGTTAGTGGCTCCTTATAGGAAAATAGAACCTAGACCACTTCTTGGCCATTAGGAAGGTTTAGAGTAATTCGGGCCATTCTCTTGTCGTTCTGTTTTCTGTTCTGTCTTTTAGGATGCTGACCTCAGTGGGTTACTTCGCTCTGTCTCTCACCTCTCCTAGTTTACACACGGAGATGCCTGAACTGCTTCCTCTCTGCCTTGATGGAGGTCCCAGGGTCCATCGCAGCCTGGCTGCTGCTGCGAACCCTGCCCAGGCGTTGCATCATAGCTGGAGTGCTCCTCCTCATTCAGTTGGTACCTGCAGGTGAGAAGTTAACCAATGTTAACAACCTGATGGAAAAGATCTACACCTTGGCTTAGGCTAATTACTGGTCACCGTTCCCTACTCATGTAGCCTCTACGTCACATACCATTGCTAAGTCCATTGGACAAGTGATTGCTAACTATGGGATTTCCGGTGTTCACACAAACACCCCTCCAACGGATGAGTCAGCCCTGGAGACTTGGAAATCATGCCTGCAAAGGAAAACTCACGCTCCCAGGCGCCCCCGTCACAGAGACATTCACCTAAACCCTCAAACCTCTTTCCTGAAGTCACAACCCTAACTCCCAGTTTCTTGATACCTTCAAACCTTTTCTTGAGGTGTATACTTACTTGAGTGTTAGAGTTGGTAGCACACGCCAGCTCCCATATAGATTCAGTGATTTGGGGGGTCTGTAATATTTCAGTTAAAGAGCACACAAAGGGACGGGCTTCCCTCTTCCCTGTGTGTAACTTTCTCATATTATTAAAACATTAAGGCAACAGGTGTTGACACACAGCATTATACACAGAAGTATGTATTTCTTAATAATGATAAACAGGATAGAAAGGATTGGTCCTTCTCTTTGACAGTGAAACTGAACTATATTAACATGCTGACAATTTACTGTGAAAGACCTGTAACAAATAAAAGCAGACACAGGTCTCTGAATGCATACGTTTTCTAGAATAACAGTAGAGTGAGGAGCAAAGTGACCCCTCACTCTCCATCTTTGTCCATGTCAGTGATTAAGACATTGGCAGAGAGCGTGTTATTTGGGGAATAGCTTTACATTTGAAAAAGACCAAAACCAAAACAAAAAAACAAGCTCATTCAAGCAAAAAGGAAAATAAAAGCAACTAAGTTGAGATCGCACCACTTCTAAAAGCGTTTCTGTTTGCACAGGGTCTCTTTTCCAGATTACAACTTCTTCTCTGTCAGCCTGGCGATGTTAGGGAAGTCCGGGTCACCTCCGGCTTCTCCATGCTGTGGGTCTTCACCGCCAAGCTCTACCCAACACTGGTCAGAACCATGGCCGTGGGGTCACACCCATGGCGTCCAGGGTGGGCAGCTTCATCGCTCCCTACTTTGTGTACCTGGGTGAGAGGCATCTTAGCCACGTGTTCTTTTTTTAAAATCTAAAAGTAATATATTTTCACGGTGAAAAATTCAGAGAGCATAGAAAGTACTGGGGAAAGTACTCTCTTCTCTCTCAGAGATATATATATATCCTGATATATATCAGAAAAAATTACATCTATATTATTTCACAACTTTTTAAACTTAACATAGTATCAGACTATCTTTATTGGTATATATAGTTCTCATACCTTCTTTCTAGTTAGTGCCTAGTCTTCCACTGTATGTATATACATGATTTAGTTAACTAGGCTCAATGAGTGGACATTGAGGCAATGTCCAGGGTTCTGTTATTACAAAAAATACTACCATTGCCCTGGCTGGTGTAGCTCAGTGGATTGAGCGTGGGCCTACAAAGTAGACGATCGCGGTTCCATTCCCAGTCAGGGCACATGCCTGGGTTGCAGGCCAGTTCCCAACGGCGGACACACAGGAAGCAACCACACATTGATATTTCTCTCCCTCTCTCCTTCCCTTCCCCTCTAAAGATAAATAAATAAAATCTTTAAAAAAATACTACCATGAACATTTTCCTATGCCCCTGCACCCTTTGTCCGTTTGATTGGGTATACTTGGATTCATAGATTGCTGGAGCAATTTTAAAATGTGAGGGATACTGCCGAGTTAGCCTCTGGATACGGAGCCAATTCACAACCCGACTGTCAATACAGGAGACGTGGCTGTGTCTCTCTATCTTCACCAGCAGTGGGGGTCATCCAGTTTTTTAATCATTGATCATCTGTTATATGAAAAGTGGGTAGTGTTGTTTCACTTCCGTTTCTTAATTATAATGAGATTGAACATCTTTTATATATTTATTGACATTCTATTTATTTCTCAGTGACCTGACTGTTTGCATCTTTTGCCTGTCTTTCTCATGGGTTTTTTTCCAACTTTTTGTCTTTGATTCGTGAGAGGTCTTTGTAATTGGGGAGAAAAAAGTAGCCCTTTGTATATACACGGTACACATTTTTCCTAGTTGCCCTGGTAGCTTAGCCAGTTAGAGCGGCTTCCAATTCACCAACATTGTATGATCAGTCCCCGGTCAGGGCGCACACAGAGTCAACCAACGGATGCTTGGACGAGTGCCGCAACAAATTGATGTTTCCCTCTCTCCCATTCTCTCTCTCTCCCCGCTCCTCTCCCTCTCTTAAAAAATAAATGAAAAATGAACATTTTTCCTAGTTTATCATTTACATTTTGACTTTATGATTTTTTTCCAATGCAGGAAATTTTACTTTTTATATCATCAAATTTACCAAGCTGAAATAACACCCCAGAAGATACCTTAGGGGGATGTCCAGCGGGTGCACTACCTGGCTCTCCAAGCCTAATCCTCCTCATGAAGGACCCTACTGATGAGAGACGTATGCACACCTCCTTATTGTTCCTGGGCATCCAGTGGTTACCTACTAGTGCAAACACACACACACACACACACACACACACACATCCCCAAAGAACACACAAATTCTCAGAAAAGGTATACGCAATCCTCAGAGAAACATTTTCCTGCCTTAAACACCCTCTGCACAGCCGCCCTGAACAAGACCCAAGGAAACGCATTATTGTGTGGAGTGGAGTCATTTCCCCTTTGTTCTTCCCTGTGCTTCCACATTGTGCTCCTCCTATAGGCTCACAGTGGACCACCGGTACATAGAAAACGGAGGAGTCTGAGACGAAGCTTCCGATTTCACAGTCGCTACTCCTGTTAGTGGCACAGAGGCCTCAGAAAAGTTTCAAGATCCATGCTTTTTGTCAAATAAAATGTGGGGGTGTGTTGTTGCTCTGTAATCTCTGTATGCAGATGGGCAGCCAAACAGGGGTCTGTTGTTCTGCTGAGTGGCCCCAGCAGCGTTGGAGGGGTTCTTCCAGTTCTTCTAGTTCCATAGAAAACCAAGGCTTACAAATATGCTGCAAAAACCCCCAAAGCACTGCTTTCGTAGTGTCTGACATTTATGGATTTGAATTGGGTGGAACATATCATTTAGACTGTTCTTTATAGAGTCTCATGACTCTATAAAGAGTCATGACTTTCCACCACATTCTACTGGTTGGGACTAAAGCAAAGGTCACACCAGTCATGCTCGCCCGTACCTGTCCCTGCAACATCGCAGTCAACCTCTTTCCCCTTGATGTTTTTCCAGTCCCCTCCCTCCAGTTTCCTCCTCCTTCAGAGGTGAAATTTGCTAGGCAAAGATTTTTATCAAAGTAACATCTGTCACACATGGTTAAATAGTAGCCTAGAGAATACCAGTTGACAGGAAAGACCTTCTGATCAAGCAAAATCAAGTAGGTGAATCACGATGGAAATGCTGGGGCAGTGCCATCTGCCAAAAACGAATGGTGTGACTTGCTTACTTTTTAACTCCTGAAAATGTTCCTGTTCAGAACTGCTGTCAAACGCTGCTTGCCACCTCTACACAGTGATTCTCAAGAAGGCCTGGAGAGTCCCTGCGTCTAAGCCACGTCCCGCGCCTTACAGGAGCCTTCCACAGACTTCGCCCTACATCCTCGTGGGCAGCCTGACCATCCTGATCGGAACCATCACTCTGTTTTTCCCTGAAAGTTTCAGAGTAACTCTACTAGAGACCTTAGAGGACATGCAGAAAGTGAAATGGTGCGTGGGACTTGAAAAAATGATATCAAACTTCCTCAGAAAGAACAAGCATGCGAGAGCGGCTAGGAGGTTCCTTAAAAGGAAGAGTAATAAGTGGAGAGTAGCTCTTTCGTAAAATGAAGCGTATTATTGAACAGTGGTGGTGAAAACAGTGTGCTAGTGGTGTAGGAATACAAATCACTGGGCTAGAGTTTAGAATTAAACCCAAGAAACTATGAGAATTCAGCACGTGATGACAAGTAGCCATTCCAAAGCAGTGGGGGTGAGTTACATTATTCTGTGCCAGGTGTGAGAACACTCAACTAGCCATTGTGGATCACTAAAAACTTGAGTCTTACTTCAAAACACATCCATATAAATTCCAGAAAGATTAAGATCTAAAAAACAAAATCATAAACATCATAAAAGAAAGCATAAAGATTTTTATAACTTGGAGGAAGCCTTTCTGTTATAAAAAGCAAAAAGCCATAAAGGGAAAGATTGATATATCTGATTATGTGATTTTAGACATTGTTGGCACAGCAAAAAAAGAAGCCATAAATAAAGACAAAGGTCAACGAGCCAGGAGGAAAATATTTGCAACATGCAATATGAAGTCAGGGCTGCTGTGGCTGGTGTAGCTCAGTGGATTGAGCGCAGGCCTGTGAAGCAAAGGGTCGCGGTTTGATTCCCAGTCAGGGCACATGCCTGGATTGCAAGCCAGTTCCCAGTGGGGGATGCACAAGAGGCAACCATACATATTTCTCTCCCTCTCTCCTTCCCTTCCCCTCTAAAGATAAATAAATAAAATCTTAAAAAAATAAAATAAAATAAAGAACTCAGGGCTACTTGCACCTAATAAACATAAAGCTCTTAGTGATTAGTAGGAAAATAAGACAACCAGTAGGAAAGTTAGCAAAGGTCATGAACAAGCAGTTTACAGAAAAAGACATTTCAGTGGCAGATGTAATACCTCAGTATCATTGGTTTTGGCCTATGAGATTGTGTGGTTTTTTTCCTCCTGATACCAACCAGTTCTGGCACCAACAGGCCTATAATTTAATTCATTTCTGACACTAACTACCTGGAGTTTGCACCAGATTCCACAGGTCTGAGGGTTTAGTCCCCCAAGACTGCCTTCACCTCGGATTCCTGCCCCACGTATCCGGTGCCCAAGCCATCCGCACTCCTGTCCAGCTTGGCTGCAGAGTTGGCGCTTCCACAAACCCCTTCCTGGGCCAAGTTCAGTAATTCGCTAGAAGGACTCACAAAATTCAGGAAAACACTTACCGTACCATCACTGGTTTATCATAAAGGATACAAATGAAGAGCCAGTTGGAGAGGTGCAAGGGGTGAGGCTCAGAAGGGTCCGGAGAGCAGCAGCTTCTGTCCCGTGGCGTTGAGGGGTGGTCCCGGCCCCACACCTGGGTGCATTCGCCTACTCAGAGGCTCTCCAAACCCCAGGGTTTAGTGGGTTTTATGGAGATATCATCACATGGACACTGGCAGGGCCAATTATTAGTCTAATCCCCAGCCCTCTATTCCCCCATGGAGGTTGGGAGACGGGCTGAAAGTTCCAGGCTTCCAATCAATCAAGGCTTGGTTTCGAGGGCAACCAGCTGCCATCTTGAACTTATGTAGGGGAGCCCATCCAAGAGTTACTTTGTGTGCCCAAAAAACAAGACGCCCCTATTACCCTTATCTCCCAGGAAATTACAGATTTATGAGCTCTATATTGGGAGTGGGGACAAAAAGCAAATATCTTTCTATGGCACCACAGATTGAAAAGGATTTAAAAGATAGGTGGTATGGTAGGAGAAATTGAGGTTCTACAGTGAAACTGCCTGGCTTCCAATCCTACACCTGCATAAATGTGGGGAAATTTAACTTTGGGCAAACTGAATTTTCGCTACACTCCAGTATGCCCGTCCATTACGTGGGGAACAGTTCTTACGGCTTCTGCCAGCTTGTACGAGGTGACATGTTTTCACACCTGTCCACAAGAGAGGGTCTTTGTCACTGGGATGGATTCCGGTCCCTGATCGAGCACAAGGAAAAGTGCCCGTTGTTGATGAGTCGTTTTCTTGTAACAATACAACTGTTTCGATATCCATATTAACTCGCCAAGAACTTCATTCTTACCAATCCATCCTTTCCACGGGGAAACTAAATTCTGGGTTTTGTTTACATTTACTTAAGAAAGTGACTCCAGATATTCAAAATCATAAAATATTAGCTCCAGACCTCTGAGGTTCATATAACAGTTACAATAATGACTAGTTCATTGACCAGAAATGTTTTTCCGTGTCGGGCTAGCATTTAGAGAAGAGAGTCTTGAATATTTAATTTTCTTTAGCATCTATCTTATTTTCAGGTTCAGGTTTGGGAAAAAAAACAAGAGATTCCATGAACAGTGAAGAAACTCCCAAAGTTCTAGTAACTTTGTTCTGATAAAAATTCCCCCCCGACCCGGTGAACTGGAAAATGGACACAGGAGACGCGGAGGCCACCGCAGCCTTCCCTGATGACGCAGCCCCGCTGCGGCCGTGCACGGACCCTGCTGTGGAGAAGTGCTTGTCACAGAGCAAGTTCTGGACCGCTCTTCCAGATAATCTCCTTATTTTTTTAAACTAACCATTTCCAGACAGTCCTCCTTACCAATTCTTTTGATAAAATGGGTTTGTAAGATTGTTTGAAAATATGTTGGTTTAGGACTGGTCAGTGCAAAGATTAACACTTGGTTCCAAACATACAAGTCAGCTCTCCAGATAAAAAGAGTATCATTGTAGCAACATAACTCTCAGGTGACAACAGTTTGTGTGTGTGTGTGTGTGTGTGTGTGTGTGTGTGTGTGTGAGTCAGCACATTCCAAATTATAGTTGTCTCTGAAAGTGGACTCATGGGCTGCTATAATTGAATGCAGCATTCCTAGCCAGAAAATTTGATACACTCCTTTGAGAGGAAATGATGGCCGGTGTTAACAGTATTTTGCAGGAGACCAAGTAGGCCCGGGCTCCTGTGGCCCATGGGCCTTTAAGAAGGGAACCGATGCAGGTCCTCGCTGCAATGGCGGCGGCTATAGCTCACAGCCAGTTCATTGAGCCGCCTTCGTTGTGCTCAAACGGAACTAAGCCTCCTGCTTCCTAAGCCTGGCTTAGGAGGTATTTTCCTGGGAAACAGAATCAGCAAAACTACAAAGCAGTTCGACTGGTAGAAATGGTTCGTGTACCCCACAGCCGAGGGGTCAGTCCCCAGGAAGAAGGCTGTCCAAGTCAATCATCTAGGGAGCCTTTTACAACACTTTCAGTTAACACACCTTCCTGAGCATGTCCATCCTCTCCAACCGGGGCTGTGTCTGACCAGCAGTGGAGGGACCTCTGTTCCATGAATGAGCGGCACAAAGAGAAAGCTACCATAAGCTCAGAGAATGAAGGTCAGCTCGGTGTCACACCGTGTTGTAGGCAGGCCGAGATGACAACAGAGGCGGGTGCTGGTACAGACTTGGAGGAGGCGTGTGTTCACTGGCCATGTCTTCCCTGACAGCTGCATGGTGACAAGCAACCACAGATGACCCCTCAACACACCCAGGGCTACGCGTGCTTGGAGAGATAGGCAGCCACTGTTTTTTAACATGCTGTGTGGTGGCGGCATGTCCTCAAAATAGTTCTCCCCAAATGTTAACTTTCACTGAACATTTTGCAAATGAATCTTTGATGTAACATCCTGACATGCTCATTATTCCATTTATTGATGTGTTCAGGGGATGATCTCCTGACCGAGGAGTTTCGACGCACTTATCAGCTGAGCTTCCCGGGCAGGGCTGCACTTATTATTTTGAAATTCTTATCTTACATTTTTCTGATAGCTCATAATTTTTTTCTCTGTACTGCCTTTTCTATCCTACTGACATGCTGCTCCTACATTTTGATTCTTACTTAAAATCCACTAGAGTAGCTTATAATAGTTTATGCTTCATCCTTGGGGACACAGGTGACAGCTTGATCTGGCTAGTGCTTTTATCTCCCCCATCGATGCAGCCTGTCTGACTGCCATTCCACCCACCCCACCAGGGGCTAGGCTGCGGGTCCTGGAGAAGGGAAGTCCTACCGACTCCCAACAAGCTCTCCTTGAACTTCATTCCCACCAGCAGTGACTGCTCGCTCTGCTGTGTTCTGCTGGTGCCTGTTACCCTCATCAGGAGGGCTCCTTTCTTGTTATGCCCCACCCCCAACCCCGCCCCCACCTCCACCTGGCTGCCAGCCCCTTGGAGGCCCAGGCCCTAGTCCTGCTTATCTTTTGATAAATATTTAATTAAAACACTTTATGACTCTAGCTTGATAACCATGTTATTTTTGATACATAGATATCTGCATATTTAAACACCTAAATAGAAATGCTCTTTTTCTAAATATAAAAAGGATGTGGTAATTACCTTTTACTGCTGTTTGCGTGGGTGCTATATATTTTACAAAGGCTTTGAAGAGATGACTTTTATAAAGCTATTTATAAAAAGGCAACAAGCACCCAGTTGATTATCTCTTTGGAAATTCATAGGCTAAGTTGATCGGCACATGCCAAAATAGTATTTAGTTTAATCCAAGATATGTTCCTGATTCTTAAAACCAATTTTAAAGCTGGTCTACAAAGCGGGTTCCTAACCTTCCTATGAATATCAGCCTCAGACTGGCAGCCAACATCACACTGCAGATCAGAGCGAGGCGTGAGGGGCGGCCCATCTGTACATGCGTGTTTGGCACTCATCCTTCTCAACACTTCCGAGTGAGTTTTATTGTAGTCATGATATTCTGTTGGTAAAATCCAAGAGATTTAACTAAAAATTCTTACATCGAAATAGGTTCCGCTCAAGTGGAGGCATATAAGAAGTATCCACTTTTTATGTACTAGCTATAACCCGCTAGAAAATATCCTGGAAAAAAACTAGATTCCATTCATAATAATCATAAGGACATAAAGTACCTAGAAATAATGGTAATAAGAAATGCATAAAAACTAAGTGAAGAAATCCGTCCGTTTCATTGAGACTGGAACAGAGCCATGCCAGGGTCCTGAATGGGTAGAATGAATTGAATGCTCACCTAAGTACAGGGCCCTCCGCCCCCTGCCCCCACTGTTTAGCTCTCTGACCTCGGCTCCTATTTATTACGCTCCCCATTGCTTTCTTTGTTCCTGCTGCCCAGAACAAAGTCCGCTGTCCTGCGCTCTGTGAGCGCGCTCCCGTTCTCCTGTAAGTTCCCTCCTACAGGAGTGCTCTTCCCAGGTACCTCCATAGTCTGCTCCCTTACTTCCTTTGTGTCTTTGCTCACGGGTTGCCTGCTTAATACATCCTTACCTGACCGCTGTATTTGAAATTGTATCCTGTTCTTTCTCTGTCCTAACCTTACCCATCCCTGCCTCATCGTTCTCCATAGTTCTTATTACCCTCTGACCTCCTAGCTAGTTTGCTTCTTCCTTGTGTTTCCTCATCGAAGTGCTTCCCTGCGTGCCATGAGTTTAACTACATGAGGACCACTTCTGTATCCCCAGTAGTTAAAACAGTGCTTGTCACATAGTAGATGCTCAGTAAATATTTGTTGAAAACGTAAATAAGTATTCTTATTATCATTATTATAGTTAAAGGGACAAAAGTAATGATTAGTTTTCAAACAAGGAAACATTGGTCAATAAATATACAAAAAAACTGTATTCTGCTTCATGAGTAACCAAAAGAATACTGATCCACATGACAATGCGATGCCATTTTTCAACTCACACACTGCAAAGATGACAAAATGACCCTATTTGATACTGACAGGGGCATGATTAAGTGCACTCTAATATTCTTCTGGTGGGAGTGGAAATCATTTTTGTTTTTTAGAAAACAAATTGGCAGAGTGTTTCAGAGCCTTAAAATGTTTGGATTTTTTGAGGTATTAACTCTAAAACTAGGAAATAATCAGAGATATATGAAATATTTATGCAGATAGATGTTTATCACAGAATTATTTGCAATTAAAAAAACTTAGTGTGGCCTAGACCTGGTCAGTGTGCCTCAGTTGGTTGGAGCATTATCCCATTACTAAAAGTTTGCAGGTTCTATTCCCCATCAGGGCACCTACCTGAGTTGCAGATTTGATTCCTGGTTTAGGGACTTAAGATCTCCTGCATGGGTGTGTCCAGGAGGTGACCAATTGATGTTTCTCTCTCTCCCTTCCTCTCTCTCTAAAAGCAATGAAAAAATGTCCTCAGGTGAGGATTTAAAAAAAACCCACACAACTAAGTATGGCCTAAAAAAGGAGGTGAAAGACTGGTATACTGAAAATACAAAACGCTGCTAAAAGAAATCAAAGAAGATACAAATAAATGGAAAGACTGCCCATGCTCATGGCTTGGAAGCCTCAAATCTCATGGAAATGCCCATGCTAACCGAAGTGATCTAGAGATTCAATGCCCACTCTCTCAAAATCCCAATGGAACTTTTGCAGAAGGAGGGAAAAAAATCCTAAAATTCATATGGAATTTCAAGGGACCCCCCAATAGCCAAAACAACCTTGAAAAAGAACAGAGTTTGAAGCTCAAACCTTATGATTTCAAAACATACTGCAAAGCAACAGTAATCAAGACAGTGTGGTACTAGCATAAAGAAAGACCAACGGGACAGAATAAAGAACCCAGAAGTAAACCTGTGCATATATGGTCTAATGATTTTCAACAAGGGAGCCAAGACTACACAGTGGGGAAAGGATACTCTCCTCAACAAATGGTTTTGTTAAAACTGGATATGCACA